GACATCTGAGCAGAAATCTTGGACGTGGGGTATATGACAACAGCCAAGCTAAATGGAAAGTTGAGTAAACTATTGAAGAACTTTATACTTGCCTGTTTATTTATGAATTCACTTACATATTCCAGAATTCCAAGGAAGTAATCATAACTGGGCTTCATTAGCTATAATTAAATGAACGATATTCCATCCTATTCCCCAAAATTTCTTGGAAAAAATCCCATTTCCTTATTAATATAATCTACATAGTTAATAAAAAAATATACTCTTTAGCTCAGTTTTGTATATGAAAAGTCAATTCATGACAATGATTTCCAGAGCTTCCGAAGGAAGGTAAGGTTGAAGACACGGTGATGGAATTTTTTAACTAGGAGAGTGGTCCTGTAGGAGAATGTACTGCCTCACAGGTTAAGGAGCTCCAATCATTTCAACAGTTGACATGCAGGCTCATTCATCATTTGTCAGGGGGATTCCTGACAAATGAGAATGTTAGGTTGGAGTTGTGCTAAAGTAACTTTTTTAATATCTCAACTCTGAGCTACTGTGCTTTATGATTTCCCCATATTCATTTCTTTATGAATCAAGAGACTTAAGAGATTGTTCTCTATCAAGTTAGGGAGTTGACGTGAGGTAAAACGACTGTCTTTACATTTTGAGTAAGATTGTGATGGACACTGGGAAATGTGAAAGATAAGCTATTTGGGAGCATCAGGAATCAGCTTGCTGTGTCGTCTTTTCATCTGAGCAGTAATGAAACAGCATTGACCCTGGGCCACTGGCAGTTGATTCACAGGAGTATACTAAGTAAGGAAGATATTTTACTGGCACAAGTTTCGCCAAATGGCTGGGCGCATCCACTGTTGATGCTCATTATTCATTTGGCTCTGCAGAAGGGGGACTTAACATCTTTAGTACCATGGGCCCTAAATATCTGTTTGTCTTCAACTCAGTTCCCAGTACCTTCAGGAAATCCCCAATTCCTATTTCAGATCTACCTCCACTGAAGAAAGTATATGATATTTAAAGTACCTTAAAGTGGAACATGGAATAAATTCCTGAAAACAAGAGTTGGGAGTCTCTCTAACTTGTTCTCAACAATATTTTGGGACGCTCATCATCTGAATATTTCTTAGGAAATTGGTTAATCACTCCAGAATGAGAGGGTTTATAGAAAAATCGTAATGACCTGAAAATATACCCCTGAACTAAGATAATTTCTTTTAACCTAAAGATTCTAGAAGTTTAAGGTTAGTTAAATAATTTGTTCGTTTTTTTTTAACATACACTTTTAGAAGACTTTCTGGAATTTCACTTAATCCTCTAAACAACATTTGAGGTTGCCATGGTGATCCTCCCTAGTTTTTCATGGAGAAACCAAAGCATAAAGAAGCCAAGTAACCCAACCAAGTCATGTAGGACTAAGGGAGGATTTGAATCCACATCTCACGCTCTCTGCCAGTTCATGAGATCACTTTGTGGCATTCCTACCATTTTAGATGATTTTATTCAGTGACAAGCTGGCAGAGAAGAAGGCAGATATGGAAAGGAAGTTTAGTTTAGGGGCTTGATAGTGGTGCCAGCTTAATAAATCTTCTCGGCACCACAGGAGTTAACATAAATTCATTGGTGTTCATCAGACAATTTCTTCAGTGTCAAAGCTGTCAATGACGAACCTTGATGTGTTCTTGGGAAGAATTCTAAGATGGGTCTTGCATGACCTCACAACAGCTTATTTTTCAGATTAGACAAGGAATACAGAAGACAAATTGTGAAAAAACAAAAGCAAAGTATCTTTTCCTCTCTCAGGTTAGGGTGGTTTTGTCTTCTGCTCATCATTCCTCCCATTAAAGTGCTCTTAAATCACATACTTCCTAATAATTAAAACATTCAAGTAAGTGAAAATGTTTGTACAAACATTCCCTCAAAATATCAAATTTAAAAAAAATGTATCATGTCAAACAAAAGCCTGGTTTTTTTAAAGATAGAAATAATATCTTTACTCTGAAAAATCTTTTTAAGAAAAAAATAAGCAAATATAAAAACCATTCGTAATTCACTACTAGGAGGTAAGCAGTGTTAACATTTCCCATTTTATTCTTTCTTTCCTTAAATATATATGCAATGCATATTATATATATGCACACATATACATATATACACGTATCTACATATGTACATGCAAAAAAAATCAGGAATTTATTTCCACATCTATAAAAATTTACCTAATACTCTTTTGTGACAGAATAATATTCCATTTTATTCCCCAATAATTAATGTTATTGACAAATGTTTGTAATAATGTGAACTTTAATGATTATCTTCATTTTTAGAATAAGTTGCTAAACGTACCATTGCAAGTTCAAAGATTATGGTTCTTCAAGAGTTTTGATGTATATTGCCAAGTCAAACCTCAGAAAGATCATATCCCAAGAATAAGACAGTAACTTTTCTTGAACATTCATCAAAACTAAATATTGTCAGAAAATATACCTAATTATCTTTGAAAGGCAAAAAATGTTATCTCAATGCTTGAATATCTATTTCTTTGATTTCTGGTGAAATTAATACATTTTCCCATTTTGTTGGCCTTCTATTTCTTCTTTTGTGATGTTCTTTTGTTTATTTTTCAGTTGCAGAGTCATTGTTTTACTGTTGATTAGCAAGAGGTCTTTACATATTAAGGATATCAAATCTTTATTATGTATATTGAAGACCTTTTTTACAAGTTTTTTATTGGCTTTTTCATCTTATGGTCTACTGAGCCAAAAATCTTTTAATTTTTATGTAAGCAAACAGATCAAGTCTTTCTTTCATGTGTTCTGCTTTTGATGTCATGCATAAAATGTCCTCTCCAACTTAGTTACACACAATTAGTCACCCATATTCTCTCCTATAATTTTGTGGCTTTGTTTTTTACATTTAAATCTTTAACATCTAAGAAATTCATTTTTATATGTAAAGTAAAATAGAGGCCTAACTTTAATTTTTTAAAGATGGTTAACAACTTGTTAAAAATTACTTATTAAATAATATATCCAACTCATCACATTTACTCTATGTTAAAGTCACCTATATCTAATCTCTATACACACTCATCCACACACACACATATCTGCAGATATAGCTATGTGTGCATCGATAGATAGATAGCTATAGATAAATAGATACTCTGTCTGTACTGTCTATTTTACACCATTGATCTGTCTGTCTCTTCCAGCAACCACTACTGTTTTAATGAAATACTTTACCTTAAAAATACTTTCTAATCTATTAATGCAAAGCTGACCCACCGTATCACCCCTATTTTTCCAATTTTGTTGCCTAGCCACTTAAAAATGTATTTTTTTAGTTTTTGTTTAGTTTTAATTTTTGTTTTTTCATCTACAAATTCTGTCTTTTAGACATAATATTCTACTATCCAGCATTCTTAGAATAGGTATCTAGTCCTCTCGATGGAAATACCTAGCAGTCAGGGCTGAGAAATCAAAATGCTATTCGTTCCCCATAGCAATGATGATGACCAGCATCAGGGGTGACCCTGTGTGCCGAAAGCTCCAGAGGGAGAGTAGAGCAAGGAGCAGGAAGTGAGGCAATGTCAGTGCTCAACTGTGACTTCACAGCCACACCCCAACTTATTTCTGGAAAGCACATGTGACATCTATTCACATACATTGCTATCTTTACACTCTTCAGGATATGCCAAACAAAGCAACAACTCCAAAGGTGGTTTGTTTTAGAAAATTAATTATAAATGAGGGTAAAATTAAGTCTTGCTATGTACAAAGTAGAAACAAAGAGGCTCTTCTGAGACAGTATAACTTAGGATGAAACAAGCTAGTGTTTTGATCAGCTGACTTCACTCAAACCACTCTTGTAACGAGTCCTTCCCAGCACGATGCAGCAATGAAATGCGTGACCTCCTCATAATCAGGTAGAGGTACAATTCTGGTATAGTTTCCTTGGTGGAGCAGAAGAATCTATACTGATCCACTGACACTCTTTTTCCCAGGAGGCTTCATCCCTTGCCGGGAGCCGCCCACCAGTCAGCTAAGCCTCTACCCAAGGACAACGGTCCTGGAGAGAGATGAGGGAAGGCACGGCGGACCCTCAGAAGGTGGCGGTCGGCCGCTCCTGATCCTACCCATGCTACTAATCTTAGCAATATTGCTCTTGCTGTTCTTTTTCTGTACATGGGATGTCTTGGGGAAAATCTCTCCAAGCAGGGGAGAAAAGCTGATGTAACCTGGCCTTCTAGGGAGGGTTCAGGGAACAACAGCCTGAAGGGAAAAAAACGTTCTGACCCCCTCCTGGAGAGGCGGTGAGGGAATTTGGACAGCCCTCAAGGAGGAAGCCTTGTAATAATCAGCCTCAAAAGAGAACATTCCCTCCTCAGGTCCTTCTAGGAGGTAGATATTATCCTAGGCCTGTTAGGACAGGAGGTAAATGGTGGCACCCACCCAAGAGCAGAGGCATGCAAAAACTACCCCATCCTAAGGGAACTCATGATCCTGACAAAGTTGCAGAAAAATATCATAATATATTGACACAGAGGAATTGGGACTATGATGAGGATTGGGAACCCTATAAAATAGTTAATGGTAAAAGAGAAACTCCAAGCACTGTGCCTGTGTGGCTTTCGATCCCCTTATGCTTTGAAATACTTCTACTTTCGTTATTACAGGAATAAAGATAGAGGCTTAGGGCCATTCGACCCATGGGGAACTAAATCTAGATGTTACACCCCGTTTTGCAATCAGTCTTAAACATCTAGACGCCTAGTAGACATGTAGAAAAGGTCAATATCTATATTTAATAAAGGTTGCTTACTTCTCACAGACATACTGTGCTAATATTATAACAAGATATGCTTATGTACCCATTTTGTTTGCCAAAATTATGTACTGAGACAATTCCATAAAATCATAAACGTGTGACCTGGACCCTATATAAGTGCTTGAATGCTTTGAATAAATCAGACTTGGAAACCTCACTTCCAGTCTCACCGTAACTTCTTTTTTCGCCGACGCCGTTCATCCCTCAGGAAACCCTACCGGCTGGAGCTGGACTCCGACAATCCCTAAAGGTAGATAAAAAGACGATTGGCTGAGACTCGATGTGCAGCCTATGGGTGAAGAAAAGTCTAGAGTTACTTGGCACACAAGGGAGTGTAGTCAGGGCAGTGGCTGTGTTGTCACGATGTTTTTAATCAACTGCTACTAACATCAGACTCCTGATAGACAGAGTTTCTTGCCCGGTTGGTATTCTTGGCCAAAGAATCCATCTCTCCCACCATCCCTGATTTGCTGCGAGAGCGTTCCCCTCCAGCGCCATTCCAACTGCATTTCCAAGAGAAGAACATAAATGGGGTATTGTAAGTAATTTCTCCTTCTTCATCAAATTCCACCAATAAAAACCAGGCGTGAGCAGTGAATATTCACGTGTTTCCTTATTTCTATTAGAAATGTCCTGAAAAACCTCTGCGAACATCCCTAAGAGGTGTCCCTACGTACTCAAGAGCAGAGCATAACCTGTTCAATAAGATTTGCTTTTATCTCCAGAACATGCTAATCTTTGCTAATCTGGTTTTCCAGCAGGAAAGAGAGAAGAGTTGATTCCTTGTGGATTTTGCCCTAAAATTTAACCCTCAGGCAGTTAAAGCCTCTTTATCCAAACTAAGTTGCTATTTCCTGAGGCCCCTTTATTACCACTCCAAAACGGACTTTCAAAACAAAAGTTAGAAAGCTGTATGATCCATTCCCGAGAAAGATCTGTTTGTGTTCAAAACCCGCCCTGACCTTTTTGTTGAAGAAGAACAAAATAATGTAGCAACAAAAACACAAGTGGCTGCCAAGGGAAGAGAAAAAAAAAAGTTCCTGTAAGGGACTGGAACAATAAATCTCCTCTCCGCTGAACTCCCCGAGGGAGCGTGTGTATTTCCTGCCGCTCTTTATCAGAGCCCCCGAAACCAGCGGACTGGGCCGTGGCTGCTCGCATTCAGCACACCTCTTGCATTTGCTCGAAAGGCCCTGCCGGGCTGAGAGGGAGGTGCCCCTGGCCGACTCTGGAGAGAGGAGCCACTGAGACAATCCATGGGCACCATGAAACTGCTTCCAGTGACCATCCTTTGTCTTCTGTCCACTCTGCGCAGGAGTGACGGTAACCCAGGTACCGTTTTCTCTTATTCCTCACATGGTGTAGATGAGAAATCACGCGTAGGCGGCTCTCAGCCTCGGTTTCCCTTCAGGGAGTCCCCTGAAGCTTAGTGGCAGCCGTCGTTTGCTGCGCTGCGTGAGCGGACACTGACTGGCAGTGCGTGGACTAGGCTGCGTGGACCGGGGTTTGTTGTCACTGAAGGGAAATGCTTGCCGGTGCCGGGCCTTGGTGTTTGATGGTATCATAAAGGCTCTGGAAATACACAATAACCTTTTTTGAGAATAAAAATCTGAGGATAAAATGCTGGCTTAAAATGTACTATTTCTCAAAAATGTACTCTTTTCAGACATAAGTCTAGAAATCACAAGACTGTCCCGCGTTGGTAAAAGGCTGTAATCGGAGGGGTTGCATGGCATGTGCTCGCCCACATTTGTCGCAACTCTCTTTGGGCTCTGAAAAACTGAGAGGTTGGGGTGAAACTGCTTGGGGAAGTGAGTCCTAATATCTTGAGGGGTAGGGTTGGTAAAGAGGAGAGTCATTTGGTTAAAATTTATAGACGTTTGCTCCAGAAATAAGCACATATACACACAACATTTTGCATAACATTTCAGGGAATTTATAGACATAAAAATGCTGCCCATTGACTGCAGATTCAGAAACTCAGATAAAGGACATGGATGTACCTACATAAGCCCTGACTTTATTAGTGACCAGTTGCAATAATGATTGCATTTGACTTTTAACTCTTCCTGAGGGATTCACTGTAAGCAATTAAACTTTCAATATTTATTAGGCTTCTACCATGTATTCAGCAGTGCGAGGAATACAAAAATGAGTAAGACATGAGGACCCAAACTTAAAAAATTTCTGTCCTTGGGGCCAACCTAGTGGCGCAGCGGTTAAGTTCCCACTCTCCACTTTGGCGGTCGGTTCAGATCCCAGGTGTGGACCTACACACCACTTGTCAAGCCATGCTGTGGTAGGCGTCTCACATGTAAAGTAGAGGAAGATGGGCATGGATGTTAGCTCAGGGCCAGTCTTCTGCCAAAAAAAAAAAAGGATAAGACATTGTCCTTGCCCACAGTGGTAAACGTGCTATTGGGAGAAAGAAGCATGTAATTCTAACGCAAGACAGATTTCATAAGTGCTAAAACCAAACTGTCATTAAAGAACACAGTTGGGAACATTGATGCTGACTCTGAGGAGCCCTGGAAAACAACTCGGTTTTCATTTTATTTTGCATATGCTCTTTTCAAAAGTTTGCTGCCTACAAAATTCTAGTTTACAGTGATAATATGGGAAAAAATAAGTGCACTCCTTCTTGAACAATGTTTATCATTAATTTTCCAAAATATGTATATAAATTTCAGACAAATTCCCAAATGCTTCAAAATCACATGCGAGTGCTTACCACGCATCTTGGAGTTTCCAGAGTTAAATTGCAGTGGGTATCAAGGCCAGAAAATTGAACTTAGAGGAGTTACTAAGGATCTGATATTTTTAAATAAAGAATATTTATGAGGTTCCACAGAAATCAATGCACTACTTATAAGTAGCTCATCACTATGCATGAGAAAGATTGAAAGGAATCTCAATGCCATGAAAAACACTGCTCACAAACACGTGTCAGGTCAATATAAATTCTGAAAGCCTGGGTTAGGCTGCTCACCACTGCAGGTGTGCAAGCATCAGTGAGTACACTACTTTCCTGGTATTGTTAAATTATGAGTGGATCACGTGTCCTGAAAGCAAAGTGGCACAGGATCAATAGAAGCACCTTCAAGGAAGATGGAAAGGTGAATGACAGTCCAGAGACAACCTGCAAGATCTTTCTATGACGATCATTTGGGGAAAGTACCAACCTTCTTTAGCTCACTGTTCGTGAACCCAACCTCTCAGTTGACGGTGTCTTCTTTCTAAGGAACTATGAACCCAAGTAAGATAATTTCTCTTTTGTGCAGGCAACGGTTACATAATGACTATCTCCTTCAACTTATACCAAAAGCCTATCTACTAACTTAAGGCAAGTATCTGTAAAGATCACCCCATTTATCTTAGAAAAGGAAGCTCTAGCCCAGGAGCGTAAATTGACCATCTGAATGTTGCCTAGGAGGAATTGGGAGAGATTTTCCCACCCACGTGTGTGATTTTGTTGCACCTAGCTCTGCCTGTTTTATGTTCCCTCCCCAATACAGTGCAGGAAACGAAGCATTTCCTAAGTTGATTTATTAAGTTCTTTCCCTAACCCCCTGTACCGGAAACACATTGATTTCAAGCTTTATACACTCCCCAAACTTAGAATGCTTATCGTATTTCATCAACAGGGTTGATTATTAGGGGTGGAAAGGGAGGCGTTTCCTCTGCTTTAAATGTACAAGTTGTCAAGAAGATCTATGGTTTTTTGCATAGGAATTTATTCCGAAATAGTGATCTTTTACAGAAATTGACTTCTTTTTCTTTCTGACATTTTTGTCGGTCTCAGATTTAAATAAATACAATATAGTCTTTTATGCTGTTTGTGAAAACCAAGGGAATCTTTCTACATGGCAGTACGTGACTGTCTATTGCTTGACTGGTAGTATAGTATTTTACAATCTCCAATTTGGAAAGCTGTTCTGTTGAAATATGTATGGGAGGTTCCTGAAAAGGAAGTGTCATTCTTTCCCAAGGTTTTCTAAATTGTATCTAAAACTGAACAGACCACTACAGTGGCTTTTAAGCCCCTTTGGCTTGTAAGTCTAGATCAATGAGCTTTTCACTGTCAAGACTGAGAGAAGTTAAATGAAGAGAGATTCCAAGAAAAAGGAGGCCCTGGAAGCAATCTACTCTTCAAGTGCCATTTTCTTTGTGAACTTTACATTAGTTTAGGGAAGATTAAAATGTTTCAGGCATTTGCCATGAGGAATGAACATTGTTTTATTGGTATCTGAAGAAGAATTTAATCGCTTGGAGAAATTCATTTGTTAGTGGTTGAACATTCCATTTCATGGAAAAAAAATGGATTGAACACACTCTAAGACAGACACTGTGCTAAATGCTGTAGGTTTATAGACATCACTAAGACTTAGCCCTTGCCCCGGAAGTGAGGGACAGAGGAGGATGAGCCAAGTAATTGTAAGCTTGATTATATTGTAGGTCTTAAATGGTAAATAAAGAGTGATGTGGAGAATTCGCAACTAGCTTAGTTTCGGATGTGGGGACATCATATAAAAGTGGAAATTATGATGAACTTTGAAGCTTGAAAATGAGGAGTTTCCAGGCAGATGAAATTTGTTGAGTGGGAACATTGAAACATCAGCATATTCTAGTCTAGGAATGTAAGGAGATCACAGGTTGGACATTTGTGAGTGTTGGGAAATAAAGTTGAAAATAAAGCGTCAGGATATGTTGAACACCAGGATGAGAAATATTGACTCATGCAGTTAATTAGCTTAGAGCCTCTAAATGGGCTTGAGTATGGGACTTAGATGATTGGAGCTATAAATTGGGAAGATTAATCTGTTAGCAAGATGTAGATTAGACTATTGCAGTCAGGAGAGATAGATGCTAAAGAAAATAGTTCAAAAGTTATTGCAAGTCTAAGAGTCTGTCAATAAAATGAAAAGAAGGGTCTGGGGAAGAGATTCAAGGAGGTAGAAAGTATGTGATTTGACATACTATTTACTGCCAATGAGGGAGAAAGTGACCGAGCTACACAGAGAAGGCTGTTTGTATACTACAAGTGGGAAGCAGCTTGGCAGCAGAGGTAGGGAAATAGGACGAGATGGTTCAGGGAGAAAGTGATATATTTGATTTTGGACATGGTGAGTTTGAAATCCTACTAAGATGTTCAAATAGAGATGTCCCACAGTAAATTATATCATCTGGAGGGTAGCTGGAACATCACTGGAGCGTGAGGTGATGGTGAGACGGTGAGTGATGTTTACTCTTGAATCCCAAGAGTTCTTAGCCCTGCCCAATGTAAGGTTAATAAGATGGAGAAACAATTTATTTGTCTTTTGGATGCCCCTATTTCTAACTCTCTTATGAGAGTTATTTTCCGATTCCTGTTAGAGTTGTTTGTGTGCATATCTTATCTTCTCTACCAGACCATACGCACGTTGAAAGCAGGCGCCATATTTATTATAGTTTGTTGAGAGGAAGAATATCTAAATTGAATTGACTCTACTTCTCCTTTTTGGGTATCAGATACTTTATATAATATCTTCTTATAGTTAGAAATATTCAAGGAGAAACCTTCTGCTCAACCAATTTCTCAAAAATACGAAATTGTGGGGCTGGCCCAGAGGCATAGTGGGTAAGTTCCTGCACTCTGCTTCAGTGGCCTGAGGGTCATGGGTTTGGATCTTAGGCGTGGACCTACACACTGCTCATCAAGCCATGCTGTGACAGCATCCTACATACAGAGTGGAGGAAGACCAGCACAGACATTAGCTCAGGGCCAATCTTCTTCATCAAAAAGAGAAAAGAAAAAATGCAAAATAGCTTTTTCAAAAAGCAAAGTTGACAGAAAGAGAAGTTGGAAGGAAGTTAAATATCGCACATTATTAATTCACATTATTTTAGGTAACATGAGTTGCTTTAGAGAAGAATGTTTTACTTATTACTTCTGTTTAGCTTAGTTACTGTCAATAGATTTGACGTGAAACTGTGATCTGTTATAAGGAGAGTGAACCAATATGGAAATAAATCCAATGAGAAAAGTATTCGGTCCCCAAACTACTTGTTTAGCATTCTTTCTTCACTACTCAGTGTTTTTCTTTCTTTCTTTTTTTATCGAAGTAACATTGGTTTATAACACTGTATAGGTTTCAGGTGTACAACATTATAATTCGACATCTGTGTACACTACAGCGTGCTCACTGCCAAAAGGGTAGTTTCCATCCATCACTGTGTAACTGACTCCCTTCATCCCTTTTGCCCTCCCCCTGCCCACCTTCCCCTCTGGGAAATGCCAAGCAAAATAAAACACTACTCATTTTTTT